AATAAAAATAAAAATAAAAAAAAAAAAACGAGCAATATAATTTGACCCAAATAAATAAAACAAAGCTACTTCCGGTAAAATAACCGCCATAATAGAATACCCACAATGCACCACTAACCCGTATATATATAAATAGCCGAGAAAAATAACAGCATATGTGGCCTGACGATTGCATATAGCATGAAACAGACTGTCGCCTCTAAGTGTTGACTTCTATGTTCACTTTTATATTTACACACGCTCTGTCTCTGATATTGAGCACTTTATCCCATAAATATAGCACACCTTAAGACTATATATATATATATATATATATATATATATATATATATATATATATATATTCTCCATATAGTCATTCATTTCTGTAGTTCACTGATACTGACAAGCAGAATATTTTTTTCCTGATGATGGCCATGCTGGCCGAAACTAGTCGAGGAATCTAACTGAAATAATAAAAACGAAAGAATATTAATATACAACCCAGTGTGTCTGAAGATTTTAATTTTTTCATATTTTTATTGTTCAAAAAACAAATATATATATATATATATATATATATATATATATATATATATATATATGACTTTATATGCGCAGTACTTATTGGATAGTGCTCAATATTAGTGCTGGGGCGACCATATTCAGGTGTATGTATATGAGTTTGTGACTGGGTTCCACGCTTTTGCAATCATCAGACAAACTGGTTGATTTTTTTTTTAAAAAAGTGGATCTATTTATGATTATTTTTTTATTTGATTATGTTTGGTGGTAGTAGGAGAAAGAATTTTCTTCTTTGTTTGTTTGGGATAACACTCTCACATACAAAGGCACACATGCATACTAGTGTATGCTCAAATATATATACCTATTGAGCACTTTCCACTAAATACCACGCATATATATATATATATATATATATATATGTATGTATGTGTGTGTGTATGTGTGTGTGTGTTTGTGTGTAAAAATATATAGAAAATAGGAAAGAACTCGTTAGGTAAATAATCTAATGTTCTTTAGTATTTTTGTTATTTTTTTAAAAACAGTGCTCGATACAAAAGTAGAGCATAAATATAATTATTTATTTAAAAATATTATTCCATCGCTACATAAGAGTTCTCATGTTTCAAAACAACACCAGAAAACTTCGATATAATTATTTGAATTAAATTGAATTAAAGTACCAAGCTCTGTTCCATCTTCAAGCGAAATTTTTTTGGAATAACTAATTCCTGAAATTTACGCGTTTTATAAGCATATTCATTATTAAAATTAAAATTACTATGGTAACGGCTAGAGCAATTATTTTTCAAAAAAAAAAGGGGGCGTAAGGATGAATAATTTGTATCAATATCTCAGTTACATTCAAAGAGTTCAAGTCAGGGTAAGGTTTTGTCTAATTTAAGTGTAGGATTTTTACTAATACTATTCTGGCATGGGGGTTTATTCAGGATTTTATTAATGTTTTTTTTATCATACTTTCTAGATTTTCAGTGCAACTGTAACTTAATTTTAGGGTGTTTTTATTAAATATTTTACTAAGTGTACTATTAGTAGAAAAGTGTTTTTCAATTAAAGCTAGGAATTTCTGTCCTGCTGCCGTTTTTTTTTTTTTTGACGAACAGTATGAACAATATTCTCTGAACAGTCAGATGTCAGTTTACTTCGAAATACACAATCCAGTTATCAATAAGTAGAGATGAAGCGTAATTAGAAATCTGTTCTCCGACTTCTTAATCCGAGCCTTGAACCATTATGTCATCGTGCCTCCAGTGAATTTCAACGTGCTACATCCAAGTGTTCCAGTCACTACCGGGATAACATTTTTCTCCGGCATTTCCCACAATCTGGCAATCTCAGCTTTCATGTCAGGGAAGCGTTTTTTTTTTTTTTTTTTTTTTGTTTCTTTTTTTTTTTTAAATCGAACACAACCCAATCAAAGCAGTAATGCCACTAAAACATAAGTGGTTACAGGGTGTGGAAGAATTAGGAACAGAAACATTACTGATGAACAGAAAGAGAAGAGAGTAATCAGGAGGACAGTAGATAGCGATTGACACTGCATTTACATTTTTTTCAGATTAAAGTTGGATGAAAAGAATCGAGCCGGAAGGATATTCCACAAGCGAGAAGTGCGAGAAAAAAAAATTTTAGAATAGAATTTACGGTTACATGCAAGCAGTTCATCTGTAAATTGGTGAGATCTTGTTGCCAGTCTAGTGCTGCCTTTAAATTCAAAAAGCCTACGTACCCTAGCAATGAGCTAATTCAAACAATTACCACGAAAATATTTATAGAAAAGGCATAGAGATGCAATCTTACAGCGGTGGGAAAGTGACTAAAGCTGAGAGGCCAGATCAGGACCAATAATATTGGTTGATTCTACTTTGAATCGTGTCGAGGATCTCAAGATAAATAGCATAGGCACCAGATAGCACCAATATTCTAAGCATGGACGTGTGGTAGACTTATAGATATGTAAGATAGATTCTCGAGAGAAAGATTGTCTCGCCTGACATATTGAAACGACTTTCTTAGCAGCTGATCTGGCGATGAATTCAGTACAATCTTTCCACTTCATTTGAACAGAGAGCATGATCCCGAGAAGGCGCAAAGATACACTTTACTGAAGGATAGCATCAGCCATGTTGATGGAAGGCGGCAAGGAGTTGCTGATCGTTTTTATCCCTGCAATATTTTAGTTATCAGGTATAGCCACATTAATTACACTGGGAAACATTTTCAGTTGTTTTGAGGACGACTATATTTGATCTTTGCTGTTGTATCGTCATTATTATTATTATTATTATTATTATTATTATTATTATTACTGTTACCATTACTTTTTTATCCATCCATACTGATATTGTACGACGACTAATATTTGATTATCCTTTTATTAGTGTTATGGACTTTTCCTTATTTTTATTAGGCCGTCATAATTATTATTATTATTATTATTATTATTAATTCCTTTCATTTCTGGTGTGTATTCATTTAATTCCGTACTAAGGTCAGAAATGGCGTCATGACATTTTCCCCTGAGCAATTAAAAAAACACACATATTTTACATAGATAAAGACCTTTGCTGTATTCGTGAGAACAATTTTGTTTTATTTCTTTAAGGCATGGGCTACCAGGAATCCCTTCAATGAGTCTATTGGGCTCTTTTCCAATCAAACCGAGGGCTCCAACTACAATAGAGATTGTTGATATTCCTATGTGCCACATTTTTAGAATTCGATTTCATGGTTCTTGTATTTTGATAGCTTTTTGAAGATCTTCAAAGATACATTGCAGTCTGCAGGGACTACTATATCAATATGGAGGCACTTTTTTGTTTGCTGTCTCTAATAACGATGTCTGAACGATTAGCTTTTATTGTTCTATCTGCGTGTATTATGTAGTCTCATCAAATTGTCACAGGTCCTCTATCCGTAACCGGGTTTGTGTGGTGTTCGTACCAATTTTTTTTTCAGTTTCCTTTCCGTAGAAGTTGCAGATTTTCCAGTGCAAATATTGGCCCACTCTGTCCTGCCATTTTTTTTTTTTTAATTCAATGGGTGCTAATACCGTGCAACCTGATACAAGATGATCAATTCTTTCTGGATATTTATCACAGAATCTGCATTTTGGGCTAACACAATTTTTAGTATGTGTGCTTGATAATTTCTAGTTAACAAGCATTGGTCGTGTATAGCAAGGATAAAACCTTTGGGTTCAGCTTTTAACCCTGCACTACGTCGCCACTGATGAGAATGGGGTTTGTCTACATCAGCTTGTTTGTTACGGTCAGAGTATTGACCGAGAAGCGATTTATCCTGCCATCGTTTCTGTATCTGGTCGGTTGCATTTATTTTTATTATTATTATTATTATTATTATTATTATTATTATTATTATTATTATTGATACCGTTATTATTACGAGGACAACAGACTTTATAACTTGTATTGTCAATGTCTTTGCTGTGTCAGTTCCAGATTTCATGTCCTTTAAATATCTTCAATGTCTAGAACTTGGTCACGCTTCATTCATTTCAATTGATGGGACGTCATATTCCGCCGCTTAAGTACAGTGTACGCTCATAAAAAAAATGTCTTTGACACTCCATTCTTGGTTATGCTTCGGTAGTTTCCACCTGTGACCTTTGACATTGGCAAATCGAACTTTCTTGAATTTTTATTTCCTTGCCATAGTTTTCTGTCAATCAAACACAAAAGCCAGCGGGAACTACTTCGATCTGAGCACTTCAAATAAGAGTTGTATAGATTTGTTTTTCCCTTGAAAGAGAATTGTGAAACAGTTGCCAAATGTAGATCAAAACTATACTTTACATATCTTATAATATGAATGAAAATGATTTTGTCTAAAATGCTTGTAATGTTTTATTGTAGCGATGTTACCTTTTTTGTACGCCCGTCGCCTGGTGGTGTTGTCTTTACTGTTATGTATTAAGTTGAAAAATATCTTTAAAAAAAATGTCTACTCAAATATCGGTATCAACTAAAAATAACGCGTAACTAATAAAAATCAGTTGGATTAATGATATAAAGGCTGAGTGTTTAGAATGTTCGCATTCTGAACATGAGACCCGGGTTCAAATCTCTCCAAGGTCGATTTGTCAGGAAGGAGATTCCTGATGTTTATCAGATTGGAGGGGTCGATCCCAACGTGCGGCACCTTTGAAAAGAGTCTGAAAACCATACCACAAGTTGATCCAAGCTTTGTGATATAATAGAATATGCGTACACCTGTGTTCCCCCTAACTAGAATATGATAGGCTGGTGTCCGTCATAAATACCGACGGACGTGTAGGAAAGTCAAAGAGCCTTAGTCTGAGAGCCAAGTCTATAACGACGCCCATTGGACTACGCCATTGATTTACACTTCTTACCTGCGACTGCGACGCGTACCAGTCGATTACTGCTACCGTATTCTACTTGGTTATAGTCGCCAAAACCACTTAGCTGCTTCGTTCAAATATAGTCCTTTACGGGACATATCAAGATAGATAGATAGATAGATAGATAGATAGATAGTGATATAATGGAATATGCATACACCTGTGTTCCCCCTCACTGGAATATGATTGGCTGGTGTCCGTCATAAATACCGACGGACGTCTAGGAGAATCAAGAGCCTTAGTCTGAGATCTAAGTCTATAACGACGCCCATTGGACTACGCCATGATCTACACTTCTTACCTGCGACTACGACGCGTACCAGTCGATTACTGCTACCGTATTCTACTTGGTTAAAGTCGCCAAAACCACTTAGCTGCTTCGTTCAAATATAGTCCTTTACGGGACATATCAATATAGATAGATAGATAGATAGATAGATAGATAGATAGATAGTGATATAATGGAATATGCGTACACCTGTGTTCCCTCTCACTGGAATATGATTGGCTGGTGTCCGTCATAAATACCGACAGACGTCTAGGAGAGTCAAGAGCCTTAGTCTGAGATCTAAGTCTATAACGACGCCCATTGGACTACGCCATTGATCTACACTAGTTACCTGCGACTACGACGCATAGCGGTCGATTACTGCTACCATATTCTGCTTGGTTATAGTCGCCAAAACCACTTAGCTTGCGTTCAAATATATCCCTTTCCGGGACATGTCACCTTGTGATGGTAGTCCATAGCTGAGCAACCGTTTTTACCAGTGCTCATATTGCAATTTTTGCTGTTATCAATTCATGTTTTTACCAGAGCTCATATTGCAAATTTTGTTGTTATCATTGCTTTTCTCTGGCACTCCTTATTACTGGTTCTCATATTGTATTTATTTCTATGTTTGGTCGGCTCAGAGGATTTTTGTGGCCTAGCCTATGTGCTGATTCCTTAAGTTTACGAATTTTCCAATGGTGTTCCTTGTCTATGATCTCAACATGATCCCACAGAGGGCGGTAATCTCCCTTCTCTCTCCATATGTTGTCAGCCACGCCTGATTTTTCGACTTCCCCTCGTGTTACAGCTTTCTGGTGTTCTTGAAGTCTTACCTTGAGGGGGTGGCCTGTCTCTCCTTTATATTCCTTCCCGCAGCTGCACGGGATAGCGTACACACAGTTTTTAGTCAGCTTCTCCACTATGGGGGGGGTCTCACTCGGGAGACATATCTGCGAAGTGTTGTCACGCTTTTGAAGGTTGTCCTGATGTTATATGGACAGCAGATCCTTTGTATTTTCTCTGATAACCCCTTCACATAAGGCAGGCAGACTGTTTTCTGAGTGTTGTTGTCCTCCTCCTCTTGTACCCGCCTATCCCACTATCACTATATAAATATGAAGTCATATTAGAACTTGAACCGGCTTCTAATGCTCTGGAGTGAGCGGTTTGGGGATAGTAGACGTAGCTTGGGGAGGCACAGTCCTATGGGTAAAAGAGTAACTCGGAGAAGTTCCACTCGGAATTTCTGATCGAGGGACGCTATATTGAGTCTAATTCGTTACCCCTCCGTCAGCCAGAACCGTCGATACAGTTGGTATGACGTTTGCCTCCTATCGTAACTGTTCGGGTTTCAATTCTCGGTAGTGGATCAGCAACTCTGTTCTTACGAACCTGCACATATGATCTGATTATAGTGGTGAAGGCTTTGTGAAGAACCAATCACACCTTTTTGAAGAGCCGAATGCAGAGACCTGGTGCATTACTTGGTACAAGGTCCCTAAACAACCCTTCTCGGGTTTTGAGATGTCCTTCTCCTAGATCACTTTCAATCCAAGGCTATAGAACCCAGTCTGCCCCGCTATTTACCCATAGCTTGAGGGAGAAGGACAGGATTAATACATTTGCCAGGGTATTAGCACGTAAGTGAATGTAATTGATTCAACAGGAATTCAAAGAGGGCTCTCCGAGCCCTCAGTCCTAGCCGCAACCCACAACTCCACTGGTCTCATATATATATATATATATATATATATATATATTTGATAATGGCTAATATTAGTCGACAGCGCTCGGATATATAGAAGATTTGAACAGTTTTTAAACACTTTATTTCCAGTGTAGAAAACACAAAAAAAATGAATAAAAAGCTTAATCGCAGTATCTTATCAGTCGTCTTTAATAGCACTATATATATATATATATATATATATATATATATATATATATATATATATATATATATATATATATATATATATATATATATATATATATATATATATATATATATATATATATATATATGCACACACATACATATATGTCTATTGTTTCTTTCATTAAAATATCTGATTCAATCAATGGCTATATTTAGATACAAAGAATAAAATGCCATTAATAGGCTTTGATTTCTCCGAATCGTACGTTAATCTTAACATTGAAGACATTTACTTTTGAAGAACCTGAGAAATCCCTGTTGCTAAAGATACAGAGAACAAATTGTTTTAAAAATTATGTAATAAAGGAAATATTTTGTGATAAAAACAGGCACACAGATTTCCATTCGACATCATAATTCTAAAACGAGACAATCATTTACGTTCAATAATGGCTTAAAATATATTAATAGAAATTTGCTATTAAATCTTAATGATTCTTAAAAATGTGATAAACAGTACTGTTATAATTTATCTGAATACAGAATTATACGATATTGAGTCATGAAAGTACAAAAGATGAATGCATATATATATATATATATATATATATATATATATATATATATATATATATATATATATATATATATATATATATATATATATATATATATATATATATATATATATATATATATATATATATATATAAACTAGCAGTATAAGCCTTTTTTCGATCGGATTTTTTCATGACTGGGAACTTTTGCCGTTCAGTTGAAGCTGTTTAAATTTAAAGTCAGCCCACCCGAAAATCAATATCAGTAACAACAAATGGCTACAACTAAAGCACATTCACAAATGACGGGGGGGTAACAATTTGAATGGTGGGGGGGCGACCCTGTAAAGGAACCTGTATAATAATAAATATTTTTGTAATACATTAAACTATTTATTTTTATTAAAACTTTTAGGAATGATACATATCCAAGAACAGATAGTAAATAGTAAAATATTCCTGAGACTTATAATGGACAGGAAGTAGTGGAGAGCCATTGTCGCGAATAATTTGGACTCAAAACCGACACTGAAGAATTATCTATCAAAAAAAAATCATGGAAATCGGATGAAAACTGTGGAAATGCATAAACAACATCCGATCACACACACACACATACATACACACAGATTTCGAGAATTATATATATATATATATATATATATATATATATATTTATTCATTAAAAACGACAGACAAGGTACTACGGTTGAGCTTTTTATTTAATTTTTCTTGTGTTCTGACAAGAGCTTTCTTTCTGGACAAAGAGTGTGTAAGAACTGTCCAAATGTTTTATATTTCCGAGCGCTTTCGGCTATACCTTTAGCCATTATCAAGGATGATTCGATTATCAGCTTAGTAGAGTGTGTGCGTTCTGTCTATGTTCAGTGTGTGGTAGTGATGTTTTTAATTTCCGAATACGGTTAGCACATTATGGCTTTGTTCATAGTTAATATTGTTAAGAGTTGGCTTTTTCTTTTTTATTATTAGAGCTTCCATTATTTTTAGTCTTTTTTTGCAAGTGGATGCAGTTAATATATTTGTGTTTTCTACTAGTATGTTCCTAATAGTGTCGGGTAAATCTGAGTGTGTGTTTATATATATATATATGTATGTGTGTATATATAAATGCATAGATGCAGAAACGTGGGTCTTCTTAATAGGCATGTCCGTTAAGTAACTGTGTTTCTGATCAAACAAAAATTCATGAATAATAATGTTGGATATACCACTACAGGCTTTTCATGAAGGCACACTTTACATCTTTTTCAGAGCGTAGTTCATTAGAGCCCGTTTAAGGACATACTGAATTCTAGTAAACTCCGTCTGTTTTACTCATAAAACAGACGTCAATAGCTTCATCCAAATAGCCTCAAAATAATGGACGTATTAATAATAAAAAAAGCACTCAATTATATTATGAACACGACTACAACGTCCTGAATCGGAAAAAAAAATTCCCATCACTATATAGATATACATATGGTATTACTAAAACGTTGTTTTTAGTGGATACCTTATTTTGAGTAGACGCTCCATTTATTTATTAAACAGTATATGAATTTATTTTTCGTTTACCGGTCAAAATAATCGAGAAATCTTATTAAAGAGAAATATACATCTTCCGGCAAGATTCGAACCTGCGTCATCCTGGTCACCGTTGATAGATCCTAAGTGCGTCGGAAACCAAACAACGTTAAATTGTGCCTTTTCAACACAAATCTTTCCAAGACTCTCTAAATGAACATTTCTGATTAATTTCCTTTCCTAACGTAAACAAAGCAACTTATAATGAAACAAGTAGTGAGGGATTTTTATTTATCATTACATATATATATATATATATATATATATATATATATATATATATATATATATATGTATGTATGTATGTATGTATGTATGTACTAGCAGCATGGCCCGGCATTGCCCGTGCTTGATTCAAAAATCGTATGACTCATACAGCAATCGCTATCACTTGACTTAAAATATTTTTGCCCTTCCTTACCTTTAAAGGAGTGCCCTTTGCCGTGCTGATGTTGCTACATGCCTTACTTCTTGCCTATCTCACACTGCGAATTTTTTCGAAACTCTATACTAAACATTAAATCTGTTATGAAAAAAGAACTAAACAAAATGAATACAAAACAATCAGCTTTAAAAAAGGACTCGTAACTGGAAAAACCGAATGAAAAAAGAATGTTAACAACAAATACTTTTTCACGCCCAACCCATTTCAGCGGAATCAGAAGTGCCATGCAGATTTAAATTTTTCCCACTTGTGACGAATGCAGCTACCGATTTTTTTTTGCATGCTAGCATGCTAGTTAACATTCATGTCAGTTGTCGTTGTCTCTCACGCTGGCCAATAGAATCTTCCTGCCTATTCGTGGCAGCTATCTATAGGCTCTCACTCTGGCCAGTAGAAAATAGCCGGAAACTACATGAAAACTGCCGTATAAGCATGAAAAAATCGATTATTTCCACTATCGATGGGAGTTGGGAAATGCAAAGTCGGTCTTGGCCTTTCCACTAACTTGGAGCATGTGCATGTAAATTTTGGTGCAAATCCGTCAAAAATTGCGGGCGTGCATTCGTTACACACACACACTAACACACATACACAAAATCCTGCCTTTATATATATATATATATATATATATATATATATATATATATATATATATATATGTGTGTGTGTGTGTGTGTGTGTGTGTGTGTATGTGTGTGTGTGTGTGTGTCTGTCTAGAGGATTAATATAAATTTTGTTACTTAGCAGATTA